CTCTCTCTCTCTCTCTCTCTCTCTCTCTCTCTCTCTCTCTCTCTCTCTCTCTCTCTCTCTCTCTCTCTCTCTCTCTCTCTCTCTCACCCTCGACTTCTCACCCACGTTTTCTCCCTCATACACGAAGACCACCACCACCTCCACTTGTGGTCTGGCGCTGCCCTCAGCAGCGCCCTTCCTCTCGCATGATCGCACGTGCACACACACTTGCCTCTAGCGCTAACACAGCAGCCCCCGAGCGCTAGCTCCAGCAGCGCTGCCGCATCGGCACGCAAGTGTCCACCCCCCGACATGGAACCTGGCCCTTTCCTATATGGAAAGTGGCGGGCTCTTTCCTCTTGCTTCCCATGTGAGACTGAGTTTTCAGTAGCTTCAGTCTTGGCCAAAGTATCTGCGCCCAGGCACGTTCAGACAGTGGCCTGGGACCGAATTGGTTAGGCATGCCCAACCACCCAGGCCCAAACGTGCGGTGTTCCCTGCTTCAACCACGTTGCTGGGAGAGCCTGGAAGGCTCACAAATATTTTCGATTCTCACGAGCAAGGCGGATATAACCAACTGGTGTGTGGCAACTGTCTGATGCCCACCAAGATTTGCAAAAATTGACGAATTCAGGGCACATTGAGATTCAAGGGGCCCACCTTCACTTAGGGTGGGCACGCCTGCTGCAGGGCCTTAAGCCGAGGGGCAAACCCTCACACTCCCTCGTCCTTTACTTCGAAAGTCCTCTGAGAAGTCATTACACAGCAGGCTGCTTCCCTTTCAAATTCCGTTCGTAACTTGAGATAATTTGGGGAGCAGTCTTCATTAACTCTTCTCTTGTGAACCACCGATCTTCTTTAGGATCAGTATGATGTCTGAACCGCACCCGATATTGCATCTGCGGTTTCAGAGGGTGTCCCCTGCATGTAGGCTTGGGCACAGGCATCAGCTTGTGCTCAACAATGTCAACAATGTCATCAATGTCGATGTCCGGTTGGGGGCAGCATTGATCGCTTGGAGGGAAACTGTTCGGTTTCAGCAAAAGGTGCTAAACTTGGATGCACGAAAAACAGGGCGTGTGCGGAGGTGACCAGGGATGCAAATGACATATGATGGACCATCTGGTTGATCTCCTACCATATCTAAGACTTCCCAGGGTCCGAAGTACTGTGGCATCAGTTTACGGTAGATTCCCAATTCCTGTCCCAATTCAGATGACTTTACCCAGACTCGTTCACCTACCTGAAATTTTGATGGCCGTCTGAGTCTATTCTCATATGCAACCATGGCATCTTGAGCTTTCTTGATGTGCTCGACAGCCTGCTGCAGCATCTGTTCATACTTGACATCAAACTCCATGCTGCCTGGTGCTGCAGTTGTATGATGTTTGGTGCTGCAGTTGTATGATGTTCAGGCAACATAAAGTCAAGAGCAGATCTGGGCTTCCAACCAAGATGCAGTTGGTTGGGAGTCATGCCAGTAGTGTTATGCACAACGTTATTGTACAAGCTGGCGATGAGAGGTAACTTCTAATCCCAGTCATCCTGACTGGCTTAATATAATGCCGAAGCAAGTGTTGCACTACCCGGTTCATCTTCTTGGCCTGACCATTTGACTCAGGGTGGTTCCCGCATGTCATTTGCAGTTGGGTCCCCGTATGTTGGGCCGTACTTTGCCACTGTTTGCTTGCAAAGTTGACATCCCTGTCACTAACAATGGACTTCGGGAGACTGAAGTCACGTACCCAGTTGTCCATAAACAGCTTGATGTTGTGGTCAGTCTTAGCCGTCTCAGGCATAGCGATTAGTCTAGCATACTTATTGAATCGGTCCACAATGACAAAGATGTGCCTTTTACCACTCTTGTTGGTCACAAAGTATCCATGAAGTCCATGGACACACTCTGACCGGGACCAACAGGGATAGGCAAGGGCTTAATAAGCCCAAGCGGTGCCTACGTCCGTGGCTTGCCACACTGGCAAAACTGGCAAGTTTCTACCTATGTCTTTGCATCATCCATCATTGTGGGCCACCAGAAACGCTGCAGTAAATCCGCTGCTGTCTTTTTATAGCCGAAATGTCTGGTCGCATCGTGGCACTCACCTAACAATAAACTATGTAAAGACTCTCTATTTGGAACACACAAACGCTTATTCCCGACCTTCTCATGGAACAACAAGTCGTCAACCAGCACAAACTTATCGAAAGTGGCCCTGTCTTTAGCTTCCAGTTTGCGGATGATCTCGGACATAACAACGTTTTTTCAATAGGCTTCCACCATAGATCGAGTTACATCGTTAGAAATCCCGAACTCGGTCACTAATGCATCAAGATAGTCTGGCCTACGCGATAGCGCATCAGCTACTTTATTGTACTCTCCCTTTCAGAGGGTCGAGCTTGAAGTCATACATATCTATGACTTCAATCCACCTCTCAAGTGTGTCGGAGAGCACGGGTTGTGTCTTAATCCAACGCAGCGTCTCATGGTCAAATCTCACATAAAAAAATTTGTCGAGGAGGTAGTGCCTCCAATGGATCAGCACTCTATAGAGGGCATAGAGCTCGCGCTCATACATGGACTTCGCTAATTTATGAGATGACATCTTTTTGGGCATGTACTCGATCGACCTCAACTTCTTCCCTTCCCTTTGCACAAGGACTATGCCTATGCTATATTGGCTGGCGTCTTTGGTCACAACAAAGGGTTGTTCATGATCTGGTAGTTTGAGGACTTCATAGTGCGTCAACGCATACTTCAATCTCTTGAAGGCTGCTTTACACCCTTTCGTCCACTCCCAAGGGGTATCAAGGCGCATGATGTCAATTAGAGGGGAGGCTACAGTACTATAGTTTTTTTACAAACGGGCGGTAGTAACCTGCCATCCCCAAAAATGACCTCACCTCAGTCACACACTGAGGTATGGGTCAGTCACGTATGCTGGCCACTTTGGCATCATCTGTCCTCAACCCATCTGCGGAAATCTCATGACCTAGATACAAGATCTTGGTGCGACCAAATTCGCATTTTTCAAGTTAACGTTGTACTGGTGTTGTCTTTGGAGGCCTAGCATTGTTTTCACGTGCTCAGCGTGCTCCTCTACAGTCCTACTAAAGATAAGGATATCGTCGAGGTACATGACGATAAACTTGTCTACGTAGTCATGAAAAATCCGGTTCATTGCGTACTGGAACGTCCTACGAGCATTGCAAAGACCAAAGGGCATCACCACAAATTCATACAGACCGTACCTGGTCTAAAAAGCGGTTTTGTGCTGGTCCTCAAGTCTAATAACAATCTGATGGTTTCCGGACTTCAAATCTATCTTTGTAAAGCACCGACATATGTGCACTCATACAAGAGGTCGTCAATGCGCGGTAGGGGCTCTGTGTTCTTATCAGTGATGGCATTGAGACCCCTATAGTCAATGCACATCCTTAGGGTCTCCCCTTTCTTTGGGACACAGAGAACTGGCGCTCCATAAGGGGACGTACTTGGCTGAATCCAGCCCTTTGCTGTGAGTTCCTTGAGCTAGCGGCCTCATCAAGCTCCACAAGAGCCATCCGATAGATCAGTCCTATAGGTACCTTGCTACCAGAAATGACTTCAATTGCGTGGACAATCTCTCTTTCTACCACACTCTTACGGCCTCCTCTTTCTTAGAGACAATGACTAGGTACATACCTTCCTCGCAATTCTACTTGTAATAATTACAGAAAGACGACGCACACATGCAACCATAGTTCTCCACTAGTCTGCTAGCCTTAAACTTTTGCAGCATAACGTCCCTTCCGTCTGGCAACTTGTGGATCATCACTTTTCTATCCCAATCGAACTGAGGCTTAGCAACCTCCAGGTAGTGCATGCCTAGCAACATATCAAAAGGCATCTCGTCGCTCACTAGGAATGAGATCTTGTGTCTCAGTTCCCCTCCTCATAGGAGAAGGTACATACTACGCCCTTGACATAGACCTTTACTATCATGGAGTGTTTGTTGGCTAAGGTAGATCCGACATATCTCCTAAGTTGCTGCACTTGGTCCCCTAAGCGCAGCCTATCCACACAAGCACAACTAATGAAATTCAGCGTAGAACCTATGTTTGCAAAGGCACCAACCTTTCAGCCACCTACATCGACTTCTACGACAAAGTGTTCACCTTTTGGGCCTTTGTTCAACATCGCCCATGAGTCTCTGTGGTCTTTCTCTAACCACTCAGTCTCTAACTCCTCTAAGGACTTAGACACATCCATCGACCAGAGCATCGATTGGTCCGGATCTGTCCGCGGGGCGATCATGGGGTCAATAGCCTTGGCCATCGTCTGGAATGGAGAAGGTAAAGTAACCATTTCAGCACGAGTAAAGAGCGGCTAACACTCATATTGGCCCGAGGTGTTTCCCTGCGAAGTGCTTGCAGAAACACCATTGGAGTCGGAAGATCCGACCGTCACTGTTGAGGACGTGACCTTCGTAGCGACCCGCTTACTCTTGCACTTGCTCATTGTGTGTCCACAGTGACCACAATTGACAAAGCACCTCGTGCAACACGGTCTCGCCACACCTCGTAGTCCAGACCAAGCTTCACCCATATGGGTGATCGTTGGTCATTTTGACCCTTGGGCTGAGATACCTTCTGTTTCCCGGCCCCCTTAGCCTTTTCTCTACTGGGCGCGGCTACTCCACCATCTGAAGTTTCCCCACTCCAATCTACCTCTTTCTCTTCCCTAAGGCCAGAGAAGTCATCAATCCCATTCGCTTGACCATCGTGGTCAACGAACATGAGATTGCCTTTCTTCCTCCAATCTTGAGGAAGCTTCTTCTTCTTCCTTCCATCTATTGGTCCCTGTTGGGCACTCCCAAGCTTAGCCTCAATGTCTACGGCTTTCTGGCTAAACGAGGCGAAGTTATGCACATCCATGGAGGCCTCATTGACCAACTTATTTTTGACATTTGTGGTCAGACATCGCAAATAAGTTGTGAGGACCTGCGGTTCGTACCGCACGCCAGGAACAACAATCAGTCGTTCTGCAGCGTCTATCACCTCACGGACTGTCCGATATCTCTTCGATCCCAGACTAACTAATGAGTTGGTGGCCTTTTGAGCCTCTTAAGGGTCATGCCACTTGTTGTAGACCATCAGTACGAACTCCTCCAATGTCAAGGTCCGTGCCCAACCATCAAAGTTTTAACCACATCCTTGCTATTGTACTACTCCATTCAACCATCTGGCTACGGATCGTTTTAGGAAGGATGCAGCGATGATAACCTCTTCCTCGGTCCTTGTGAGCTTGTGCCTCACATAAGCACAGTCCTCACCCAAGTAGCTAGGTCGTCTTCCTTCTTCCTGTCGCCAGAGAAGTGTTTAGGACTCAACAAGGGTATCTTGGGTGTCCACTGCATGGGCTGTATAGCTCCCTGTGCCTGCTGCATTGGCTGTGAAACCAGTGGACCGGGCCGCTATGGCTGCACTTGATGTTGCAGCGGTACCTGTTGCACATGATGTGTTACACGTGGCTGCCCTGTAGCAGCAGTGGTTGAGTGTGGAAGTGAAGAAGAAACTGGAATCTGCCCGCTACTACCTATTGCTAAACCACAAATGGAGGTATGCCATGCACAGGGGAAAAGGATGGTCCCACTGGCGGCACGGCCATAATTGGACCTGCAACCGTAGGGGGAACTACAGTAACTTGCGGTTGCCTCACCATGGGTCGAGGCACCTGTACGGCAACCAGAATCCTATTCTGGCTGCCTACCTGCTCGGCCAACAGCTTCTGTTGCAGAGCCTGTGCTTCGGCTACACTCAACAGAGAGTTCTGAAAGGATCTAGCAACAAAGTCTAATGTTGACTCATCTATAGCCTCTAGTTTGCCTAGCTCCTGCATTCTTGCCCCTAGTCTAGCTTTTCTAATTCTAGCTTTTTCCCTTTTCTCCTCTACTTCCTACAACTGGCGCTGTAGCTCTGCGTGGAGTGTGTTTACTTCTGCAATCTCGTACTGCTCGGCCAACAACTTCTGTTGCACAGCCTGTGCTTCGGCTACACTCACCAAAGAGTTCTGAAGGGATCTAGCAACAAAGTCTAATGTTGACTCATCTATAGCCTCAAGTTTGCCTAGCTCCTGCATTCTTGCCCCTAGTCTAGCTTTTCTAATTCTAGCTTTGTCCCTTTTCTCCTCTACTTCCTGCAACTGGCGTTGTAGCTCTGCATGGAGTGTGTTTGCTTTTGCAATCTCGTAGTCCTCGTCAGACATGGCTTGCTGCTGGCTGATCTGCAAGCCAACGCTCTGACTCGTGGTAGACCCTGACATACCAGATCTTACACCCGACAAAGTGGCTTGAGACGAGGCCTGTAACATAGCAAAGACCTGCCTCTGCTATGGTTCGAGCTTCTGCTGCTCTAGCTGCTGCTAGTGACCTCTCAGCGTCGGCTGCTGCTGCCCTAGCCCTCTCCAATATGCCTCTCTCACTGGCTTCTCTCCATAGTCTCCTTTCCTCTCCTGACTATAACACCAAGAAAGTGGTCGGCCGACTGAGTGCACGTCTACGGGTAAGTCTCCTATCTCCCTGGTCTAGTTCTTCGACCTCACTATTTTATCCACTCATGAGCTATGTGTGGCATGCAGTCTGCACTAGTGTCCTCGCTGGGACCTACCGCAGCATGGCATCCAACCGATTAAAATAAAATAAAATAAATGTCCATTCCATCTTTTTCAGAAAGTTGCCAAGCGGTTATAGCAAATAATCTCAGATTCCTACAAACAATTCTATCCTACTTTTGACTAGTCCGAAACAGATCGCAATGCAGCCAAAAATATTAACTACTCTATCTCAGATTCCTACAAACAATTTTATCCTACTTTTGACTAGTCTGAAACAGATTGCAATGCAACCAAGAATATTAACTACTGTATCTGCAGCCTTCTGTTGGTTGTTAGCAAAGTCGGTCACAACTAACTAATCAAAGATAAACATAAAATCATTTGCAGATGTGCATGCAGGCTGGCATTTTCCAATAGATAACAATTGAACAGTTTACTGGAATTTTCCCTCCCCCTGCATTCTTCTTGCGTAGTCACTTTGTGTCGACGTCCTGAAGCTCTGGTTCACCGGCGTGTCTGAAGGTGTGCAATCGGCCCACCCCTGTGCCCCAAGCCTATGCAGAACTGGCCAGCCCTGACCGTATTATTTTTATACTCGCGTACAACACAAGTCGTGTATCCTCGCCGAAGTCTCTCTATAGATGGTCCGGTACTTATCTCTCCCTCATAGAGTTGGCCTGCACGACATGACCTCTACAGCGCAGCAAGCAGACCAAAGGACAAGCGGCAAAGCATGTGTGTACTAGTCCCAGCAGGTTGGCATGGTGACCGTGACCCGAGTGCTTCGTCCAGGGCCCTTCAAAGGCAACACCGTCTCCCACCAGCTTGCTCCCCAGGAAGAATGTCGACGCTCAAGGTTGAGCGCTCGCGACACCTCACAATGAGAGGACTCTCAAGACATAACTCACTTCCTCACAGTAAGAAGCAACGAAGAGGGTAGATAATGTAAGGAGCAATGTACCTCATAATGCTGCCCCCAACCACAAATTTCTCACCAGTAACCTGACGTGCATTTATGATGACCGGTCGATGCCTCGACACAACCCACAATACAATGCAGTTCCACCTCGGCTTAAACGCCACGTCAGCAAGCTCTCATCATCCAGCGTGCACCCCTATGTCACCACATAGCCTTCCTAGTGCGCCCATACGACCCTGGGCCGCCTTCTCACCAACGCACAAGCGTTATCACTGCCTCACCATTACCAGCGAAGCACCGAACAGTTATTGTGAAGAAGCCAGCGGAGCGGCTCAAACCAGCTCCGATACCAAATTTGTTGCATACTCGTGAAACACAGTCATAAGTATGGCGCAGATTCCCATAACTGACCAGATAATACAGAGTTATACAGATGCAAGCGGAAGACTTGAGATACCTTGGACTGACTCGGACTGCAATCGAACACTCTCAACATTCATCAGGGTGTGAATGCCCTGGCCTCCAGTTATAGACGAAGGGCCAGGGCCGAGATCATACACGGACGAAAGGGGAGAGGAGAGAGACGAAGGAGGAGGAGAGGGAAGATGACGTCAACTCAATGTTTCCAAAGATAGTATCTTGAACTGAATAGGCTCTGTCTCTTATACACATCTAGATGTGTATAAGAGACAGGACAAAAGGATGGAAGGGAGGGGGGGGTGTAGGAGGGAGGGTAGACAGAGGCGAGTTGAGGGGACGTTGAGGGGGAGGGGGGGAGGGGGGGATTGGGGTTGGGCAGGCAAAGAGGTAGGAGCCAGGCTTGAAGTTGAGAGGGAGGAGGAGGGTGGAGAGTGATTGTGAAGAGGAGCTTGAGTTCAATAGTGAGAGGGAGGAGGAGGGAGGAACAAGTGGGATCCAGGCGCTACTTCGTTTTTTTTTTTTTTTTTTGGATTACTTTTCCGCTTTTGAGTTTGTCGTTCACACTTCCTTGGGCAGGGTAAACTTGGGTTTCTAATCGGTGGGGTTTGGGCTGATTAAGAGTGGACGGGGCACCGTTGTTGGCTATGGGGATGTGTTGCGTGGGGTTGAGGGGGGTTAGTAGGAGAGGGTGGGGAGAGAGAATGGGCGAGCTTGCATGTCCAGGCCTGGCCCAAGTCACGTGGTACTTAGCGGGTGTCGATCCGCTCGTGATGATGACGCTCATGGAGAGGCGGCAGAGGTGGCTCACTTCTGAGTGGGAGGCGGCTTGAGTAGTTCGCCTCCATTGTGCCTGCTTGAGAAACTGCAGGGGTTGGACTCTCCCGTGAAGATGGCATGCATGCAGCGCACTGGGCTGCAGGCAGTTGTTCTCCCGTGGAGATGGCAAGCTCCAAGCACACAGCTGCTGAGGTCGTCTTCTTCGAACGTGAGCATGCAGTGGCGATGGCGAGAGTTGCCGCCCTTTTTCGAACTTCGAAGTTCGAAGTTGGGTGGCGCGGCGTGGCCGCGTTGAGGCAGGAGGCTGGCGGGGACGGGATTGCGTGGGCGTCAGGCCGTAGGGCCGAGGCGCAGGTGCGGGCGCGGGCGCTAGAGCAAATTAGCGCAGCGCTGGATTCTCGCACTAACTGGTGGCGTGGTCGCTACCTTTGCCACATACTTTCTTAGCTTTTCGTGTTACGGAAAACAGCACATCCATGCATATTGCTTGCACTTACAAATTGAGGAAGACGTGCCCGGACTTGCACTTACGAATTGAGGAAGACGTGCCCGGACTTTCTTCATTCAAATGCTGACTTGGGGACGACGTAGCCTATGCTGACTTGGGGAAGACATAGCCTGGCTTTTGTTTATTGAAAACCGATGTTCCTGTCCATTTCGTAACGTAAGGATGAACTTGGAGGCAATGGCATTCATCACAACTGAAGGGGACGTGGAATAAGATAAGATCATGAGACATTCATCGCAACGAAGAAGAAGAAGAAGAAGAAGAAGAAGAAGAAGAAGAAGAAAGAAGAAAGAAGAAGAAGAAGAAGAAGAGGAAGAAGAGGAAAGAGGAAGAAGATGACAAAGAAGAAAGAGGAGGAGGAAGAAGAAGAAGAGGAAGAAGAAGAAGAGGAATGGCATGTAGCTATGGAAGCTCATCGATGCCTAGCAACAATGCTCAACGGACAATGCAACTACTACCATGCATCTCCTCCCTCTACTTCCACCATAGTCACCCTCGCCATGTCCAGCCGATACCCCAGCAGGGGGCTTTTTGATGCAGTGCCAACCACGTATGGTAGGAACCCCCCAACACTATGGAGGTCCGATCTTTCATGGGATTGGTGGCTATTACCAGCACTTCATCACGGGCTATTCACGAATTGCCGCGCCTTTGACTCACCTTCAGTCCCTGAAGGTGCCGTTCGAATTCAACGATGAAGTGCGGGCTGCATTCCAAGCATTTAAGATGGCTATGCTCATGGCCCCCGTCGTAAGTATTTATGACCCCACCTTGCCGACGCGAGTGACTACCGACGCTTACGGATATGGCATTGGTGCGTTCTTGGAACAACACGATGGCGAGTATTGGCCCCCATGGAGTACTTTACCGACAAGGTGCCTCCCATCAACTCGCTCGACGATGCATGGAAGAAGGAGCTGCTAGTTTATGTCATGGCACTCAAGAGATGGCGGCACTTCCTCCTTGGGCATCGTAGGTTCACATGAGTGACCGACAACAACCCATTGACCTACTGTAAGACACAAGACAGGGTGATCAGCACGATCGGTGGATGTACTTCATCAACCAATTTGACTTCACACCAAAGCACCTGGCGGGCCTCTCCAATCGCGCAGCAGATGCTCCCTTGCGAAGACCAGATCTTTGTGTTATGACACATCACGCCTTCGCTTTCGATGAGGGCCTGCAAAGACATTTCATACAAGGTTACGAGTCCGACCCTGAGTACACGACACTCTACGAGCAACTCTCCTTGGAGGAGCCATCGGCGAGTCACTATCGTATCGTCGCAGGTGCTTGCTCCTTCACTCTCGCGACAAGACTTGCTATGCATACCTCAGGAACGCCGTCTTCGGACTCACCTTCTCAGCGAGTTCCGCGACTCGCGCCTCTCCGGCCACCTTGGAGCCAATTGTACGGAAATAGGTCACACACATTTGACAACGGTTCCATTGCCCTGACTTGGTCTCCGATGTTATCAAGAACTACGAGTCTTGTGAAGTTTGTCATCGAAACAAACCCCGCAACCGCTACCTACGGCGAGTTACGACTCCTACCAATTCCGAGGGGGCCCGACATCGCCATTGCTATGGATGTCACCGCCCCCTTCCCACAGGATCGATCTGGTCACGACGACCGATTGAGCAAGTACCCTCGGTTCCTCCCATGTAAGTACTATGTGACAACTCCCGAGCTCGCACAGATCTTACACGGCTGGATTTGCAGCCACAGTGTTCCGGAGGACATCGTCAGCGACCGTGACACTCGGTTCATGTCGACCTTCTGAACTGCTCTCATGAAGGAATTCGGAACCGCCATGAAACCAAGCTCTGCTTGGCATCCTCAAACAGATGGGAAAATGGAGAGGGCACACCAAACGGCCCAAATGATGCTCTGCACGCTCATCCGACTGGACCAAAAGGATTGGGTTGTTCGCCTCCCTGACATCGAGTTCGCCTACAACACTTTGTGGCATCCGGCAATAGGCGTAACTCCCTCTGAACTTCACCATGGGGATCGGAAAGGGCGTATCTTTGCAGACCTTCTTCTTCCACGGACTGCCGACGTCGACGCCCCTTGCACACCCGCTTCCATCCAGAAAATGTGGGAGTTGCTG